TTTGATGTCAGGAATACACCAAGTAGTACAGCCACCTCACAGCTGCAAATGGAAGCAGGATTCTGGGTATTTTGATGGGGGGAAAAAAATTATTGCCTGCATATGCTCCCAGTAAATCAGCATTCACTTAGCCACCCTAGAGCATGAAACTCAGCATAATAGATCTTTCATAGCTCACAGGAGAGGTCATGGTACAAGAATGTTGAAAAATACAACACAATCTTTTGTAGCTAAGAAACTTCAAGGTAGGAGGTGTAAGTTGTAGCAAGAATAGAAACCTCAGAGGAGATCATCAGAAAGTGATTAACATGGGTTTTTCAAAAGAATGTGCACAATTGTCAATATTTTCAACACGAACATATATTTCAAAGTCTTCTGGCATCCTGTTTCTTATGCATTATACGCACACACATAGAGCTCAATTTTTTGGTTTGTTTCATTAACTCTGTATTTCTGCTACTCATAATTACCCAAAGTATTATGATCACATCGTTCACACATTCAATTGTTTGGAAAAAATTTCATTGAAGAGACTTTCAGCAGGGTAACTTTACATGGAATACAATTTCTGGTGCACTAAATTTTTTATACTTAATATGTCACTTGATGGTTTGTTAAACTGTCTGATTTGATAATTTGTATAAACAATCACTGTGTTGAAATCCAGATAAACAGCAAGGACACAACTCCTTTCCAAGAGTATATGCTTTATCTTGTTTGTTGCTTTTCTTTGAACTCCTTCTTTTTTAACACAAATATATCAAACACTCAAATTCTTTTCTCTAGAAAATGGGGTATTGCCTTAATATAATATTGCATGCTTATTTTGATTTGCTGAAGCCCAAGTCAGATAATATCCCAGGTGAACTGGATGAAACTACAACTGGCTACAGCCAACAAGGGCAAGAAACCTCAGGAGACAATTATAGACAAAGGCTATCTGTTGCCTTCCATCAGCATATTGCAGGAAAGTGGAGCAGGACTTCAGATTTTGATCAAGAGAATATGGCTGAGGGAAGTGGGACCACAACTTTCTGGAGTAATCTCCAAGGACAGACAAGGCAAAAACAATTACTGGGCATCAAATAGTGCTCCTCCCCACTTACACTTCCCTAAAAATCTGTCAATCCATGAGACTGTCAGGAAGGAGCAGAGAAGGAAGTGGTGCAAGTTTCAGTAATGAATCAATGCCAGGGAAAAGACATAGGAAATTCAACTCTGTAGGAACTGAATGTTTTGCCTCAGTCATAAAATGCATTCAAATTCATGTCTCCATTTCTGGTTTCCTTTTTTTTTTTTAATACCTTCCCAATAAATTCCAGGGACTAAGACAGGACATCTTTGGTTCCAGGGAAGCAGCTAGCTGTCCAGAGAGATGCATTGGCAGATCACACTCCTCTAAAAGGTACATCAGATCTGCAGCTGAGCTGTTCACACCCTTCTAGAAGGTATCTCATTCATCCAAATATTTAAAATTAAACTGTTTCAGACAAAAATCAGTTCACTGCTTTTCAGCACCAAGTCACATTTTTTATTTTGCAATTCCAAAGACATTCACTCCCATCCCCCACTGTCTCATATTTTGAAAATTCCCACTTCTTTGAGTGTGATGTCATGATGCATTGCCATTCAATATTTAACTTAAAATTATAAGCACTAAATTGGAACTTCTTTGCATGGTAAAAGATCACACAGAGGGAAATAGTGGTTTAAACAAAGATCTTCTATAATTAGTGATAATAACAAAGGAAATATTCATGATTACATCAAAGGATTCTTCACTGAGTATTGTTTTTATTTGCTTCCTAAGGGAGCATAGAGTTCTCTGAAAAGATAACACTGTTTTAGGCAGACGTAGATAAATAAAAGAAGGCCATCTAGAGAATCCAACTTCAAATCAGGGCCTGAAAAATACTCTGAAATCCAGAAGAGTTCTCTAATTGATCTGATTACATGCCAGACATCAGCACTCTGCTAGGTATGCAGTGCTGATAAGCCTGCAGTATGTAAACACCTTTTCAGATGAACATGACACACAACACTGCAGTTACCCTGGGCATCTGTCTCCACATACATAAGGCATAGCCTGGGGATTAATTTCATCCACTATCATAATCAGGACTAATTTTTTGAAGTACAGGTAGCTAAAAATAGCTAAGAGTAACGTTATGCAATAAAACCTGGTATATGTTTCCCCTTTCCAGATGAAAGAATCAGATATGGCTTCAAATAAAAAGAGGTGGCAGCCTGACCAGAACACAAAATATATTCATTTCATTTTCTTCCAGAGTGGCAGCATTTTAATCTTCCGTACATTAAAGATGCATGCCCACCATCATATAATTTCAACCGCCTAAATATTAAATTATGACCAAAAATTCACAACACTTCTGCCCTCCCCTGGAAAAAAAAATAGGTCAAAAATAAATGGAAAAAAAACTGTTTTCTGCTCCTTTTTATGCATTTGACAGAGAGGAAAAAAAAATGAGGGAGATAAATCTGCATAATACTGAACCGAATCTCTTTAATTCCAGTCAGCTTTTATCATTCAATCACTGAGTCTGTATGTGGAAAAATTCATGCTAATTCCCCCTAGCAACAGCCGCAGCCTATCCGGGGGAGCCCCGCACCAGGCAGCTGCCAGCCAGCAAGAATAACTCTAAGTAGGTCAGCCCTGCATTTCTAAAAATGCCACGGTCTAGTAACCCCACTGTCCTGTCTGTCTGCCCTACCCCATAATAACCTCGATCGCTCGGTGACACAATGACATACTACCCTGTTAGAGCGCAATCAAATCCCGCTGCATTATTCTGCTGCGAGCATCGCTGCTGGATGAAGGACCCGTCGAGGGGCAGCATTAATCAGGCAGCCATTCATGTCCACTAGCACTTCACTCTGGAGATGGGGCCTGCATTAATGACCAGCTGTTTGAACTAACACAAACAAAATAATGCCTTCCACCCTGTTGGTTGTGCAGAATACGCTATTCTAATCAGGCAGGTTATGCTCATTGACTAAACCTAAGATGTAAATTAAACAGCCCCAGACAATGCCAGCTTTTGTAACCTTCTATTAATTAGAGTAAGTATATTTAAATTATACTACACACAATTCAAAGAGCTATTGGTTTAATATACAGAGTCACCTCCTCCTACAAATTTGTGTTCACAGTCAAAAAAAAAAAAAAAAAACCCAAACCAAAACCAAACCAAAAACCACCCACCCCCACTGTTTGTATAATACAATCTACCTATCCTGGTAAATTAAAGAGCAACTACAGCAGAGCTGAACTGTGAGTGACTTCTGCTGTGAGCAGGGAACTACACCAGACTTCCAGTAACGGGTCTTTGGGAACAGTGACAGACACGTATGCTGTATGTGGTGGAGGGGTATTGACAAAAGCCCTATAAACCTCCCCCAGCCATGACACACAGAAAGGCCAGTCGCAGCAGATTAAACACCCCCTGCAATCTCACTGCTTAAGCACTGCCGAGTTGCCTTCACAGACCTAAAAATAATTGCAGAGGTCAGAAAGCCCCTTGGCAGGATCTGGGCATGTGTCTTTAAGAGCACGTCCATCCCTTCTGCTTCCCACAGCCCTGGGGATTTCTGCATGGCTGCAAGATGCTGCAGGAAGCCCTGTCCCTCCCCCCTCACTCCTAACCAGAAAAGCCTTAATATAAACCACACCAGAGCCCAGCCGGTCTCCTCTGGGGTGGTATTTCAGTATCAAATCTGTAATGCCAGAACAGAATTTCAGCAGGCTTGCTTTGTGTTTGATTGCACCCTTCCTTTTAAACACCTTTGTGCAGCTCGCTGGTCTCTTCCTTCAGAGCATGCCTCCATGTCGTGCAGCTGCCCGTACAGGACAGAGCTAGGACTGAAATTTTCAAAGATAGTCTGCTCATCTGCATTTTTTTCCTGAAGGATTTGCACTTTTGGTGAATGCATCCCATAATTCATTCTTCTCTGCTGCAGAATTCAGCAAACCTTGTGTGTGTAATCCATCCACATCTGACTTAGGAACACAGCAGATTCATTAATCCATTTTGCTCTTTCTTGTTTGAGCCAGGCTTGTTAACCAGGTTATGAGAGTCTTCCTTTGCTTTGTGGCACACATCACATAGCAATTCTTGGAGAGATACAGTCACTGACGTAACCGTGGGCTCCTAATTACAAGCTGCTGACATTTTGCTTGTCTCTGCAGCTTTGAAGCTGCGATTTCAGAGTCTCTCCTCCTCCCTCCTTGCTTGCTTTAAACTGCCTGAGTTAGAAGCACACAACAGATTCAGAAAGGTATAGGAGTGGCATAAACTCCTTTGCAGAGCCTGCTGTATTGCCAAAGTTATTTTTCTTTAAGCAAACAGAAAACTACAGTTTGGGGGTAATAAGACTCCTTAGCCCCCAGCACAAGAATGCTATCCAACAGCTGTCTAAATACAATTCCACACACAGGGCTGCCTTTGTAGGCTGAGGAACAAACAGTGGAAGGACTAGACGGGCGTCTTGCAGGGTAGCTCACCATGACTATTGGGAAATCCCCTCATACACATTTTAGTACGACATTATGGTCTATGGCTTTGTATAAAAGGGAAGAAAAGGAAAGGAAAAAAAACTATTTTTCTCAATAGGCAGCTGCTAGAATCCATGCCAAGCCCTGCTAGCTGAGTGCAGTTCTTGTTTTCTCTCTTTCTGCATTGTTCAGATATGGCCAAGCTGAGCTACCTACCAAATGAAATATGCCTGTCCTGTGACAAGCCTACCTGCTATAAAACCACCCCAAGCAGATTCTGAAATAAAAAATACACTCAGTTACATTTCACAGAAATCAATTGCCAAACACAAGCATTGTCTTTTCTCAATATATGAACAATCCTTTTCGATTAGAGGCTGATTTTGAAAATCTAAGAAAGAAAAGGAAAAAAGATGCAAGTATAACACTGAATACAAATGCTCAGTTGAGGATTTAGTCATCTGACGACTGTGGTAGCCAGCTGGTCTAGAAGTCATCTGGGATGCATTTATTTTGATTAGATTGATCACATTTCTATTTACAGTATAGAATTTTTCACCATACTGAATACAGCTGTGTTTATAGAGATTTTAAGATGGAGAAAACGAAACCCCTCGTTTTCTCTCAGCACAGTGCAGAAGACTCAGTGCTTCAAGGTGTTAAGCAGAAAGGATCTGCTCTCACATTTCTTAAAAGAATATTGCCTACCATCTGTTTTCACAAAGTGCCACCTCAGTCAGGAAATGGGTGTAGAGCTGGAGCTGAAAATACAAGCTGCAATCAAGTCTGACCCAGCAAACTGACAAACGTCCTCTGTAAATTGGTCAGAAATGTCTTTCTTTCATTTCTATACATGTTCACACACACACAAAAGCACATACATGCACAGATATACACACAGAGTGCGAGGCTGCTCTTTTCCCTGGGGATATTCCTGCAGCCACCTAACTCATCAGTTCACTCCCTGACAACACCAGGAGTGCTCAAGCTACAATTTACAGTCCCTCCGTCCATACACTGCTTTGTTAATCAAGCCATCCTCTCTGCAGTGAGAATCCACAGAATCGGACAAACGGCACGTAGCGTTTCTTCTTCCTTTGCATTTGCATTCGCTCGCTCTCTCCTTCTCTCTTGGCTTTGCCTTAACAGGCAGATGCAACCGATACCTTATTTATCCATCTCCAGCACAACACTGAGGTGAAACCCGACTGCAGCACTGTGACTTCCCCATGTTAATCCTCTGGAGCAGCAGAGGCTGGATTCTTGTTGCTGATGCCCTTGTCGAGCACTGGATTACTTGACATAATATTTCTTTAAGCTTTCACCCACCCTATCCTAGATTAACACCCTTTCTTTCTCCTCCCTCCCCCCGGCCACAGAAAACCCCAAAATCATCACATATTGCAACCCTTGGCTTCCAGAACCAATAAAAAAAAATCCGCGGCTCCATCGCTCTTCTTCCTTAGCAATGTGCAGACGAGAGAGTTTCGAGTCAGCCAAGCCAGGGCGAAGCGCAGGCAGCAAGACTGCAGCAGCCCCAGCAGCAGCAGAAAGAGCAGCAGCTGCCCAGGTAAATGGAGGGAAAAGCAGGTTCTGTCGAAAGCGGTTCAGCATCCTAGCTGTGAGGAAAGACGGTCTTGCTTCTTCCAAACGGCACAGCTTTATGCCTGCAGGAACGGAGAAAAGGGAAGACCCAGAATTAAAAATAAAAGCCAAAACAGTTAAGAAGAAACAATAACTATAACAAATTGTCGTAACTTTATTTTTCTGGGCTTTCGGGCTTTTCTAGGAGGCAGTCTCTTTTCCTCTCTCTCCCCAAAGTATCCTATGTTGCTGGATGCTACTGTCCAAGAGTGCAGAGTCACAAAGGCTCACACTCCAAAGCGCAGTGAGACCAGCATCACATGAGAAACCACATGACGCACCCAAATCGGATGCTGATGTGGTCCAGTATTTCACTCGCACAGGGGGGGAAATATCTCGACCGAAACATGCCCCTATCTAGTGGTTAGAATGAATTTCCCTTTAAAAAAAATTAAAAATAAAAAAAAAAAAAATTAAAAAGGCAGCAGCCCAAAATATAAATATCTCCATATCTATCCATCTTCAATGCCAATGCTTCAGGATGCAGGAGAATGCTGTTCCACAGACACTAGCTGGATGGCAGCAATATTACTTCCAGGCTACGTTATTCTAAACTGATTGCACTTAAGTGAATTCCTGAAAAGCATACTCCATGTCTCCCTAACATGAACAGACTGAGAAAACCATTTCCATTATCGTTCCCTGCAATCTGTATCCAAACCTGCATTCTGAATAATTTATTTGAGACTAATAAGCTGTTTTCCAGTACTACTCCTTTTCCCACTCAGCCCCACACTCCATGAGCAACTACAGCAAGAAACACAGAGGCATTCACCGTTTCCTTAACCAGTAATTTTAGTAAATGCACTGTCCACAAAATAATCAGGAAAAAATGAGCAGAAGAGTTTTTTCCTCTTTTTCATGTATGGACACAACAGAGCTCTCTCTGGTTTGCGGACGGTGGCAACCTTTTCCTCACGTTGTCGACTCAAAAGCTTTCAGTCCAAGCCAAGGAGCAAACATTCTTGCCTGCCAATTCCTGCAGAGGTGTTGTGGCACCCTGTTTAACGCAGAAACATCTGGACACCTCTGGCAGCCCCCGAACGAGAGCGTGCAGCTCCGCAATGCTGTTTACTGTCAGGGCACCAAGCAGTTAACATCCTTGGCTGCTTTACCATCTTGCCTATAGGAGCATGGAACCGAGGGACTGGTTCGCTCGAGAAACAAAAGCAGAAAAGCTGACCTTGATGATCGATGGAATTGCTGCTCACAAAGTTATCATCCAACAAACAGTCAGCGGTTTGTAGCTTGTTTTATGCCTAACATTTGTTCAAGTGACAGAGCAGGTGGCACACAGTCTTCCATCCCCTTTGTTTGCAAAAGCTGGGCACCACCTCGCAACGCTGCGCTCCCTGGCTCTTTACACTGAAACTGTACACGGTGTCGGGGAAATATAGGAAGAGAGCTGCCGTGAATCCACACAGCTGCTTTGCACAGGATCCCATTGCAATCTCTGAAGTTACATAATGGAGATGAAGCACAGAATTCCCCCAGAAGAGACATGCTTAACCCTTACACAGGAAAGCGCAATCGGAGCAAAACCCAAGTGCTCTTTTGTGCTGATTTCAACCTTCCCAACTGTTCACGCAATAGCAGATTGCAAAAATTTGCACAAGGCAGTTGTAGCTTGTTCTCATTGGCTCCTCTCAGAAAGAGGTTTTGCAATGGGCTGCACCTAGGAGTTGCCTAAATTCCACGTAAAATTCGGTAGTAGCATTCAGCCTCAGCAATGCTGCTAGTGCTCAAGAGAGGCACAGGACCGCATGCACAGAAATGTACATCTGAGAGCATTTTCACCTGTGGGGTTAAGAATTTCAGCACTGGCAAATCTTTGATGGAAAACAGTAGAACTATACCCAAACTGTGACTGCAGCTAATCAATATAATACTGTACTTTCAGATGCAATGTCAGCTAATATGGAGAATCCAGATTATGGATTACTTTCTCAGTCCAAAATATAAGTATTAGTGAGGCAAGAACTGAGTGCAGCCAAATATATGTCTTCAGGGCTTTGGATTATAAGATGAATTGTCTTGGTGACCAGTCCCATTGGTTTTAACCTACAACAATTACAATAGCATTATAGTGGCTCTGAGTGGCTTCTAGTCTGTTCTTGTTAGTTTCTAAGACATAGCTGCAGCAGTTCATGACTCTGTGAGTCGATGATCTTTCTCACTTTATACCAGTAGCTCATTTATCTATTCTGACTTAGAGATACATTGGAAGGGTCATCTGGAGGTGACTTAGTGAAACTCCTGGATATCATCAACACTACATCAGGTCAGATGCAACTTCATCCTAAAAACTCTCAGAGGTGGAGATTCTATAACCTCTTCCAGTGCTGACCTTCCTCCCTGGGAAGATAAATGTGCAGGAAGTAAATGTTCATTCCCTATTTCTTATATAGGCAGCCTTCACTGCACTGCTGAATTGCATACATTTTCCTAGATCTGCAGCTGAAAACACAGGCAAGGCATGAAGGGGCTTTTCATAAGAATTTAACTAAGTTCAGCTCAAAATAGTAGCATCTCCAAATTGTTTCCATAGGATTATCATTTTATCTCCAGATGCTTCCATTTCAACTGTTAACCAAAGCACTAAAATGCTAGTGAACACCCTGATAACAATTCCAGTGTTCTACCAGGTTTCACCCATGAGAAACAGGAGAAAACCCAAAGATCCCTTGCATGTGAAACCTAAACTACACTCAGAAGTCAGAATTAGGGCTGAACCAACATGGTACCTGGAGGATGTTGGCTTATTCAGAATAAGCAAGACACATTTTTCAATCTGGAAAGACCTGGAAAATGGGCTCTAGAGTATCTATAAATATATATCCACAATCTTGTGAAAAAATTCCTATGCAAGTACACAATGGATGTAACTTTAAGGAAAATTCAGGGATATACAGTCATGTAAGGTGTCAATGAAGAGGGAGGAAGGGGAAGGGGCAAGAATTGCAAAGAGAAAGACCAGTCATAATTCCCTCAGAAATGCAAAAAGGTTTAGATGAAGAAAGGCTTCATGTAAGAGACAGTCATATGCACATAGTACTTGGAAATCTAATTCTCATACTTCAGATAAACTCCCCAATAATTGCTTTGTTAACAGCATGGGTAATGACCTTTCTTCCCTCTCTAAATCCCTAACTCTTACTTTGTTAGGTATTAGCTCTCAAAGTAATTCACTAGCAGACTCTAAATTACCTGTTTAATATGACTTTCCCAGTTTAGCTCCAGAGGATATTTTCTCCCCTCCAGAGAATGGAGAACTCGGAAGTTGTCCAAACAGAACAGCTGAAGGTACAAGTAAGAATTTTGGGTTGAGGTCATTACTGCTTGTGTTCACATGAAAGCTTTTGGGCTGAAACACATGGAAAGAACTGGGATTGTTTTGGATGCTGCCTTGACAAGTCATCAATAAAAATTTTCCCAGGACTAATTTGGTGCCAGAATTTGAAGACCAGTTCTCAAACATTTGATCACAAATCCTGCTCCATATTAGTGCAGCTTTGTGCTGCCTTAGGGATACACAAGCTATGTTGGATTTGATGCAACTGTCCACAGGGAACAGGCTTCAGAGCAAAGATTCAGCAGCTGAGTAGACTCTAGATGAACATGAAGAATCGGAGCAACATACAGGCAGCCCAAAAAAAATATTAATTCATGAGAGCTTAAAGGCTACTGAATTTTGTGGAGTAATTTTCAGATGCTGTTAAACCGAATACATCTTTGTATGAATAATTTTTTGTTTGGTCACAGTACTCCAATGCAAGTGATGTATTGAATGTCGCTGAAAATAAAACTTTGGTTTTGGAAAATGAAACCTTCAGGGTGTCAGCTTTTCCTTTTGGGAAGAGTTCCACTTTGGGTCTTAGCCCCTGAAGTCAAAGGAAGCAGAACTTCACCTTGATTAATCATAGCACAGGCACTGCAGAGACTGGGCAGAAAAAACAGAACCAACAATAAATTTAAGTTTTCCTTATTATACTCAAAATCTGCCACCCCTGAGTAGCACTAAACTGTGCCACCTAGGAAAAAGGAACTGAAAAATACAGAAACTTGGAGAAATGCTATGTTTTCAATTAGAGTAGAATGCCACTAGCACACTTGTGTATATCAGTAAAATGTGGAGTTGCTAATTTGATGGGAACATATAATTACAAGGAATGGTCCATTTGAATACCTGATGGTTCTCAGCGAGAATCAGGCTTTGGGGTTCCATTTTCAATGACCTTTCTCTCTCTAATCTGCAGATGGAGAAAGAATTATCATTAGGTTTGAGGTTTCAACCCCAAAGCCAGGCCAAACTTGACGTTTCACTGAACTTGAAACCTCAAAGTGAACCTCAAGCGTGCAAACCTTATGGACTCAAATCAAAACAAACATATGTCAGTGAGCAAAAACCACAGAGCTGCACATGGGTCTAAGTACTGAGCCATACTGGCTACTGGCCAGGGCAATGAAGAGCCCTCTGCATCACACAAAATACCAGCAGAAGTTTAGTGACCACAGGGTATGGTTAACACACACTGCCATCGTTTAGAGACACTTAGGTCAATGTCAGCTGAGAACTCAAGTCCCAGAAGCAGTTTATCTACGTTGTACCTCTTCAGTAAGGTAAGATATCTTCTGAGGAGTTTTGTGTGATTACAGCTAAACTCCTTTGCTACGTGATGGGCTTCTACAAAGCCATCTTTCTGGCATCTCCTTGATAAGCTGTATGTGTCTGGAATGGAGATCTAACTACCTCCTCATAAAAAAAAAAAAGACACAGTTTAGTTTTTCAAACAGCTTTAAAATAACCATGATTCCACCTTTTTTAGTAGAATTTTCAGTAAAATACACTAGAATCTGCTTAGACCATCTAAGTGAATGGAGTGAAAAAAATAGGGATATGGTGTTTCTGTATTTTCAGCACAGAGATGGTTATGATAAGAAACTGGTAACTACTGTTCTGCACTTTTCTCTTGCAGTCATCTGAAACCAGAACAATTAATTTGAATTCACTGACTATTCAATACTACTCTTGGAAAACTTTCCCAAGTTAATTCAATTTTCTATAGGTGTGATGGACAGCTTATTGCAATTACCCTCTCAAAGCTTCAGGTATTTCAGCACTGGCCATACATGCTTGTACTGACCAGCTCTTTAATCATATTTGAGAACCTGTTTCCAGTGTGAGTACAAATGCTATCTTTAAAATTTGAGAGATGTTTTCTCTATATTCACCTATGTTTGATTGTTGTATGC